TGGAACTGACTGAGATCCACATAGATTCACATTCACCGGACCTGCATAGAAATGAAGCAACTCATCCACTGCTTGCCCTCCATTGCGAAGCAAGAATAGTCTTCCTCCTCCTCCTCGTCCTCCTCATCATCATCATCCTCCTCCTCGTCGTCGTCGTCGTCGTCAGTTGGCTACATATTCCCAAACTAAATTTTAAACTAAATATAGCTGAATACAGCCAAATATCATGATATATACTTATATGTATATATATATAATTATATATATGATTATATACATATACTGTATATACATACAATATCCACCCAAAACATCTAGAAAAGCTGCCACTCTTTGGCACCGCTTGGACTTGCTCTGAGGACAGCAGCGGACGCTGTGTCGCCGCCTTTGGGCCCTTGGGGACGCCCAGTTTGCAGACTTGTCCTCCAGGCGCACTGGGATGGGATAGGGAGGGGATCAACCATTGATTCCATCGGACAGCAATCGACGGCATGGGTTGTCCAATCGAGAAACATAGAGGAAAGCTGGTATTCACTGTCAAATATCATGTATAAATTGATATTCTCTATGTATATATATATATAAATTGAATTAGTGATATATATATATACGTATATATATATATTCATATAAGTTGAATTCTAGAGCCATGTCAAAAATCACCACTTCCAGAGACAATTGATTTAATTGATGCATTTCTACTTGGGTAAAAGGCATCGCTTTTGGGGACACATCCAAACCTCCCATTCTATCAAAATTTGCTGTCCCAATGTTATGTTTATCAGTAAATCGTCATCCTTATTTGGTCAAGTGGCTGCGATTGTTTTTAGGTTGTGTACCACAGGGGTCTCACTAGGCATGTTGCGCTCATTGTTTGTTGTCTCACACCATCACGCAACTAGGGCCTAGGGAACAGTCTTCTATCTTCTTGGGGGTCCAGACAGAAACCATCCATGTTGTGCAGTCAAATTCTTCACGGCTGTATCGCGGATCTTGTGCTGCACTTGCACGTACAGCGAAAGACACATATTGTTACAATTGTAAGACGTTTTGCAGTCATCACATCATTGTTCTATATGGTGATGGGTCAAAACCTATGATTACCATAGTTTGATATATATTTTGGGGAACTTTTATGGAATCACATGGAATAACCATCGGGATTCGCCAGGTTTCTATTGCTTGGGTGGCCTGGAAGCTCCAAGGAGCTGCAACAACGGCGACCACTGTCCGCCGGGCACAGGCGATGGGCCCCGTGCCTGGGAGAAAACGCTGCAAGTTCCAGGGTCTTTCTGCTTTCAAGCCGGTAGGTCCTGGTAGATGCTGATTCTGGTGATTCTGGTGATTTTGGTGTTGTGTTCTGCGCCGCCACCGATACCAGTTGCTGGTGCGTTTAGCCGGGATCCCGGCGCCCAGGTGCTTGTCCCAAGAACTATTTCTGTCCTATCCCAGCTGCAGACGATGCTTGGCAAAAGCGAAGGTTCTGCAGTGGCATCACAGGAATGATTGGTATATGATTGGTATATGATTGGTATATGATTGGTATGTGATTGGTATATTATTATATGATTGGTATATGAATGGTATATGAATGGTATATGATTGGTATATGAATGGTATATGAATGGTATATGATTGGTATATGATTGGTATATGGTGGAAAAAGATGGTGGACGTTTTTTCTACCGAACATTTCATTTGCTGGAGATGATCCTCGGCCAAGGTTCAGCCCTGTCCTGCTGGTGGCCACTGTCCGGGAGGCACCACCAGACCGCAGGCATGCGCAGCTGGCCACTACTGTCGATTTGGAGACGAGGGTACGTGCCCACAGGTGGGACCGGACCGTCCAACCATTAAAACCTGAGAAGTTGGTGCGATCCTACAAAGCTGGTACCCTCTGGTAATTTAACATAACTAATTCTGGAAAATCACCATTTTTAATGGGAAAACTCACTATAAATGGCCATGTTCAATAGCTATGTTAGTTTACCAGAGGGTACCGGAAGCATCTGAAATGGTCAGATGGACCAGCTGAATTTGAAATCGCTGAACCGACGTAGCGACAGGGTCACTTTTGCCCTTTCGGCACAGAGATTCCTCGGAAGTGCAACGTCTTCGCAAGTTGTCGGGAAGCCAAGACGGTCAGGTTACCTTCAAGTTGACGGATGTCGTGGAGGCATGTGGAGGAATCTTGCAGAGCCAGATAATAGAAGCAATATGAACCAAGGCTACCAAGATAGGATAACCATTGATTGTTTGAGTATATTATGTATATTTGATTAATTTGGCTCAAGTCAAGGTGCATTCAGTGCATTCAGTTGTGACAGAAGCACATGTTATGATGCTTAAGGTCCAGAAGGCAGCAAGTCTCCCGATCGATGGTTTTTCTCACTGTTGATTTTGGCCGTTCGAAGCTCGGGGTGTGCTGCGAATTGTGTCGTCACCATTCGTCACCCATCATGAAACTCATTGTCCCCTACACATTTTTTTCGGGTCATCGTTGTTTCTGGTTACTCTTCTTCTTGGATCCTGGCAAATGACGACTCAAAGGCCGTAGTGGGCTTTGCAGTTCTTGGGTCCTTGTACTACTCCAAAATCGTGGACTACGGCTTTGGACTCTGTGCAGGGCGCCCCATATGGCCCCATATTGCCAGACATCAGACATGGTTTGCAATTGCGACTGGCAAAAATCCAGCTGAAACGCTGAAGCATGCTGAAGCCCATTTTTGGTCAATGCTGTGTCTATGTGTGTCTGGTGTGTTGCATGTTTGTTGAGGCTTTGACCGCAACAGCTGTGGGCCTTATGTGGTTAGTGGACGAGGCAATTGCTCTCTTCCTGTCCTTGGCCTTCGTCTCGGTAGCGGCCAATTGGGCCCTGCTGATGATGGGCCAAGTAAGTCCCGCGGTTGGGGGTCTCGGTCCTCGAGAGGTCTCGGGGTTTCACCGGAAACCGGCCACAATGGACGAATGTTGTGATATGTCTGATATGTGATCTCAATGATCTGTCTGAAAATTGCGCAATACCATGGTTTTTTACGATGTATAACGTAGGATTACCGCAGAAATGGGAAATGGGTACCCGGTTTTCAGACCAACATTGCTGTCACAGCCTCAGCAGGGTGAATCACTGTGTCACCGACCGATTTTTAGTTCTTCTTTTCTCGTGAGCATTGACCCGCCGCTGGATTCTCCGAATCCTAATTTACTATCAATATCTATCAATATATATATATACGTATATAATTATATATATATATATACATGTAATACAAAGATGTACAAACTCTATTCATCTTGCGGTGCCACAATGTGCCACATGCCAAGTCCCTAGATCAAGACACAGATGTGAAGTGATTCCGTGTCCACTTTGCGCAGAGGTCGCTTCTGGCCTCGTGGCTGTCACTGGCTGTGTGGCAGTGTTGCTTTTATGGCTGGTGCCCCTGGCAGATTCATAAAACGACTCCTCAGGGTATGGATGATACGGAAGATGTAGTGAGAATGATGCTTCCCAAACAGATGAACATTGTTTCCCTGGTTGCTTTGAATAGGATAAATAGGTTTCTCATGTTTCTCATCCATATTTGGGGACCACGATGTTTCAGTCGATGCCAGGTTCATCCTCCGTCATCAAGACATGTTTGCAGTGATGCCTCGATTGGGTTTGCGAAATTTGGAGGGCAACAAAGTCGTTTGCGAAGGAACAATTGCTTCCATGAGCAATTTTGATTAACATATATTAACATCTTTGACTCTGTTTGCAAGTCTCCTCGTTTTCGAATCTTATCCATCTTGCCCATCTAAAGGTCGCTGTAAAGCACCAGGCACAGCAGCAGATCCAAAGGCGACCATGAAATGGATCGCCCATGGCAGGTGGGCGGCATTCATGGCAGGTCTGTTGATTTGCTGCTCCATTGCGTATTTGATGTCTCGTCAGGCGGGATCTTGGTATGCTTGGCATTAGTTGGGGAATATTGGTGTTGAAGAATCTTAATCATATCAAATGATAACTTGGATTTCAAGCTGGAGAGGATAGGAATGCTTGGTAAATCCAGCACTTTGATAATAGAAGTCGCTGTGCCTGACAAGGAATTGTGATGTATTGGACATTTTTGCGGTTGGAATACGGCCGATTCATAGGATCGTGAGAACTCCACAATTCCCTTCCATCATCTTCCATCGATGTCGAGGATTTTTGCTCAGTGATCATTGGCAGAATTTCAATGATGTGGCCTCAGACAGCTGGAAAGTGTGTCACTGCGATAGACAACAAACTTCAACAAACTTCAACAAACAACCGCAATGAACATAATGAACATCATGCTTGACGTTTTGGCGATCCTAGTTCGAGCTGCTTGCCAATTGCGTGGCATGGTGTGGTAGACAAATTTGGCAGTTGGCCGCAGTTTCAAAGTGTCACTTCCTGCTGAGCAGTTGCGACTTTCAATCCAGACTTGCTAAATGACGGTAAGGCTTGCTTTCTTCTTGTTCTTGATCTTCGAATATTCACAGGCTCGCACAGACATTGTGTTGCATTAAAATGGCCAGTGATCGTGGTATTTCTTCTTAACTTATAAATGCTTGTCCCATTTTCGTTTGGCATGCTGAGATTAAACTGTACATTGCATTACAATTACATTACAATTATATACATCACAATTACATCACAATTACATTAGAATTACATTATAATTACATTACATTACTAACATTTCTACTAAGCAGCCACTAGCATCATTTCGTCATATTTCTTCGATCCTGCAGTGCCTGCAGCATTCACTGCATTCTGCACCTCACCTGGCCAGATCGACCCGGCTTTCACCATTGCCTTTGGGGTGCTGTTCGTTTGCCTCTTCTTGGGCATCATTGTGTCGTATGTACGTCCCCCGCGTCCCCGCCCGCCTGTTGAGAACGGAATTCGGAGGGATTCCGAGGTCTGCAAAGGCAACAGCGAATTTCTCCTCGATCCTATTTCAGATTCAGGTGAACAGTGTACTAAAAGCATCTGGGATGGACACGTATGCTACCTATGCGGCCAATTTTCTTCAAGCTCTTCAAAGACAAGACACAAATTATACCAGCAAATTCCACAGATCATTTTTCTGAAAAGCCCTGTAACCGCAGCACAGAGAGAGAGAGAGAGAGAGAGGGGGGGACACGCTAAGCCCGCTTAGCAATGTCACAGATGTTGGAATGATGTGGGACTGGCCCAAAGCAAATTATCCTTGTATGACATGTTCCCATCATTATGCCACAGCAGATGCTTTGGTCCCTGGAACGCCTGCAAGAGGGAAAGCTTCGGCCGCTCTGATGCAGCTCCAAAGGAGATAGCGGTGGATGCAACGCAGGCGGGGTGTGTTTTAAAGCCCTGGGAAGTTTGTGAATTTTTGAAGATGGCAAGGCAAAACCCCGAAAGTCAATGAGTCAATTGCATCAAGTCACTCTTTTTCTCAGAGTGGTGATCCTACAGACATTAAGCAAGGTTTCTGCGTCAGAAGGATTCTCCAGGTAACTCATGGTAACATGGTAACTCAAGGAAAGCGCTTTGGGAAGTGTCTTGCCAAGATCTGCCAACCACGTTTTGGCTCCAGCTGCAATTCTTGCAAACACCACTCCGCGCTCTTTGCCCAGCTTTTGGCGAAGCGATGGCGGCAACCATGGTTCCATTGAAAGAGGTGCAGCCCTTCTCAGAGAAGAATATGTTTGGGGGCTCATACCGAAACTATGAGTCGTCCACTCGCCAAGACAAGGTTGAGAAGACATACTCGGACATGCGTGTCAATCAGACAGTGGCATTTGTGAAGGCCATGCGCGAGAAGTGGATGAAGTTTGACAAAGGCGAGTACACCATCATGGAGGCAATCGAGATGTTGGATGAGTTGGTGGATGATTCTGACCCAGACGTAGACATCCCAAACAGCATTCATGATTTCCAAACTGCAGAAAGGATCCGGGAGCAGTGGCCAGGAGAAGAGTATGACTGGTTCCACCTGGTCGGGTTGCTTCATGACATGGGCAAAGTGATGGCTTTGTGTCCTGGGGTCATGACGAGTACATGTACCAGATGCTGAAGTTCAACGGATGCACCCTTCCAGAATGTGGCCTCAACATGATCAGGCTTCATTCCTTCTATCCTTGGCACGACAAACGCGCTTACATCCACTTGGAGTGCCCTGAGGATGCAGAGACCTTGAAATGGGTGAAGGAGTTCAACAAGTTTGATCTGTACTCGAAGGGTGATGCCACTCCAGATGTTGACGCCTTGAAACCCTACTATACCTCTCTCCTGAAGAAGTACAACATTGACGGCAAGCTGAGGTGGTAGATAGTGGTGTCAGCAAAGTGCGCCCTTTGTCCAGTCCAGTCTGATTAGAATGGTTTAGATATGTCTCCCGTTTTGCCGGTTGAGACAAGTTGCCAAGGATGTTCCTTGACCAATGTTGCAGGGTTGTACCTGGCTTACCTGGCTTCAACTCAGCAAAGGCATGAAGTTTCTGTCAACGTTCAACATGTCCTCGTCAGGCCGCTGGAATTCAGAATGTAATTCATGTGCAATGTTTTGTGAAATGTCCAAGGATGGGTGTAGTTGGCCTTGGAAGAATCGAACGCCAGTGGCCAGTAGTGATAGGCCCAGCAGTTCTTGATTTTTCTTTGAGGCCTTTATACTGCCTGGACGGGCCACAGGCCACAGAATTTGATGCTCAGAAGACTCGGATCACCAACTGGCTGATTCTTGAGGCTTCTGCCCTGTGATTCAAGCTGAAATTCAACCGGACCTTTGCAACCGACCAAGACCTTTTGGCGACCTGAAGTGACTTGAAGCCATATAAGGCTTCAATGCAGTTCTTTGCTCGGAAAGATTGACGATCAGACGATCATGTTGCCAGGATACGCGGCTTGTTTTTTCAGACACTTTCAGACCTTGTGCTTCAGGCACGTGCCGAATGACGCAGACATGGATGAACCAACGCTTTTTACGTTTGGGACCTGCTGACTTCGAAGAAGGAGCCTGAGGACTCAGTTAGCCATGGGTCAACCTGAGTCAACCTGTATACCGGTATAGCATGGTATAGCCATAGCATGGTCTAGCATGGTATAGCTGTTTTGAGGATGTTTTTCGGGTGTGTTGTTTCTGAATCTGGGGACCTATCTCGGAAAATTATTGAATGTAGCGAAATTTTCGAAAACCGTGGAACCATAGATCCATTATAACATACTATAACCAACTACCAACTATTGGTTGATATTGGTTGCACGATTTGGGGAACCCACACTTGAAGAGCGATCAACTGATGCGGATTTCAACCATTGGACCATGAGAGAAATCTGAGATCTGTCGGGAGAATTTGTATCACCTTGTGACTGTAACAAAGGCATCTCCTGGAAAGACCCTCATAGGAAGCCTGGGCGAGCAATCCCAGTTCTCAACCATGAGCAAAAAAGAATTCGATCAGAGCAAGCTAGGAGTGCTGAGTTGGCACATGTTGTAATGTCCCAGCAAGCGAATAAAAAAGATGCAAGAGACAAGATGAGGCATTGATGAAGCCTGAACAGTGGTATTCGAGGTTCATCATTATTTTTCCCACTAAAATTGCAATTTGGGAGTATACCAGTAATTTTGAGACAAACCAATCTCGGAACACAAATTCGTGTTCCTCTTCATTCCAAATGGTCCAGGTCCACTTTGTGAGCATCGGCAATGTCAGTCCTTTGGCAGATGTTCAGAATATTTGGACAGCTGTGGCCAAGGCTCGCTGTCACCGTGAACGAAAGGATGAACAGACAGAACAGACATGAACAGACGTTATATGCGGAGCCACAAATAAATCAACTGCTTCACACATGTTCAAGGCTCCAACATCCAGATTCTTCCTTGGAATGACACGAGTTCTCATCATTGTCAAATTTGTAGACTGAAGTGACTGAAGTGCTCATCTTTGACGCAGAAATGAATACTGTAGCCTGTCTTGCAGGGGCAAGATGTCAGCACGCTGGTGCCCACTCTGAAGGCTTGAGGATTTGTCATAATTTGTCCAAAACAATTTTCGGAGATGCGAGATTCTAAGATTGTTCTAAGATTGTTCTCCGATTGTTCTCCCAGGCGAAGCGAGCAGTCTTTATCTTCGCGAGCCCCGTCGACCAGGGGCAGGTGAGCTGTGAGATGAGCCGATGGCCTAAATCACCTAAGTCCACTCTAAGTCCACTCTAAGTCCGCTAAGTCCCGAAGTCGTTCGTATTCGCTAGTCCATGCTAGTCCTAAGTCATCCTAAGTCGTTAGTCCTAAGTCGTTGCTGAGTCGTTGGTCGTCAGATGTCGTCAGGTGACAAAGTTGCGTGAGCTCGTGCAGTGCATGGACGCCGTGGAGTCTCCGCCCATGTCGCCTTGACGAGTCTGTGAGATCGTCGACTGAGTCGAGTTGAAAGAAATTCTCTCCGTCATACGGATGAATCATGATGAATCATCTGCATCTTAGTGGATCTTAGTGGATCTTAGTGGATCTTAGTGGATCTTAGTGGATCTTAGTGGATCTTAGTGGATCTTAGTGGATCTTGATTCTTGAATATTCTTGATCTTTCTGAAAGATGAAATTTCTTGGCAGGGTTTGGGCCCCGCACACAGTCACGCCTGAGGTTGGGAGCCAAGACATGGCCAAGAGTGTTTCATCTAGTCATCCCTTGTCGATTTTGTTGATTCAAACCAAAAAAAACCATTTCAAATCTCAACCTCAAATCCTGGTAGGACAGTGGGGCGTATTCACATCGCTGTTGTGACTGTGGTGTTCCAATTGTGCCTGGCAATGTCTCTGCAGATTCGACCACATAATGCCATGATTGACACCGATGGTCAAAGCACTGTGAGTGGCTGGGATGCACTGTGCGCTGTGACATGTGTCATGACTTAGACTGACTTAGTTTCGACAAGGAAGAAACAAAGACATCATGATTCATGATGGATAGCTTCTGAGAAAGTGTTCTTTTAATTCTTTGCGGTGGTTGACTTCATATTGAATCATCATACATGACTGTGGCATTGTGAGCTTCAAGCTAGTTTTACCATGTTTTACCTGGACGTTTCCCGAAACTGCTCTCTTTGTCTTCTACTGTCTAAGGGATTACTTCTGGTTACAACACCTTCGGCTGAGATGAGAAAGCTTGTTGATGGCCAGTTCCAAACCGCACTCAGGTAGCCTCATGGTGGCATCCTCAGATGTTGAGAAACCGCAACCGCCGTTCGCACTTCTCTCCAGCAAGGAGCTGGGCCTGGATGGCATCATCTCTGGTGAGCCACAAGGGCAGACCTTGGCGTTGATCCTGCGCATGTGGGCCCCACGCCTCAAGACACGGCCACGGAGATCAATTGATATCAGATTTTGAGATGTTGGGTATTTTACTGTTCACCAAGGTACACCAAGGTACCAGGGGTTTGATGCAAGTTTCACCCAGATCTTGGTGGACATAACGGACGTATGTGAATCTCTACAGTCTTTACAGAATCTTTTGGATAGTCTGCGATATCCACAGGTTCACAAGCTTGAAATCGCGGCGGAGACCTTGTCCGGATCTGAGAACTTTGGAGCGAAGGGTTGTGTCTTTTGACCTACAATGCAGAGTGCAGTAGATTCTCAGTAGATTGCTCCAGCACCAAAACAAATGCCAGCTTGCACATTGCAGGGCAGATAACAGCCCTTTCTTGTTTCAGTTTGGAAATCATTGCTCAGAAGTTCAGATAATTCAGTGGGCGAGGTCAGATGTGCTCCAGGAGCGCCATAGAAAGGCGCACAACGTGGAGTACTACAAGGTGCCAAGCACAGGAGGTAATATATATATATAACATATATAATATATATATAATATATATATAATATATAATACATATATATATATAACACACATATATATATATATCCTTTTGTCATAGGACATTCAATGACATTTATAGTCTATAGTCATGAAATGCACGGAAGCAAGACCTGAAAGCGCCAACCGACAATGGAGTAAATGACCTGGAGACTTATTCTTCGTTGAGGAAGAGCTTGATGTAATGTTGCGCTTGCGCAAGCGTCAAGCTGTGCAGGGCCATACGGACAGTCTACTTTGGGACTATCTCCGAAGTCGGCCTAGCACCCAAACGTGCAATGCAGACTTTGTGAAATAGCCGCTTATGCCAGTGCATACAAGCCCGGGTTCAAACGGTGATGACAAAGTGGAACTACGGGTCGAAACCTGACGGTACCATGTCTGTACATGATTAATAAGATTAGCCTGCTTAATCCACAAGTCATCACAAGTCATCACAAGTCATCACAAGTCATCACAAGTCATCACAAGTCATCACAAGTCATCACAAGTCATCACAAGTCATCACAAGTCATCACAAGTCATCACAAGTCATCACAAGTCATCACAAGTCATCACAAGTCATCACAAGTCATCACAAGTCACAAGTCATCACAAGTCATCGCAAGTCATCGCAAGTCATCGCAAGTCATCGCAAGTCATCGCAAGTCATCGCAAGTCATCGCAAGTCATCGCAAGTCATCGCAAGTCATCGCAAGTCATCGCAAGTCATCGCAAGTCATCGCAAGTCATCGCAAGTCATCACAAGTCATCACAAGTCATCGTCAAGTCATCAGTCGCAAGTCATCGCAAGTCACAAGTCATCGCAAGTCATCGCAAGTCATCGCAGTCATCGCAAGTCATCGCGTCATCGCAAGTCATCGCAAGTCATCGCAAGTCATCGCAAGTCATCGCAAGTCATCGCAAGTCATCGCAAGTCATCGCAAGTCATCGCAAGTCATCGCAAGTCATCGCAAGTCATCGCAAGTCGCAAGTCATCGCAAGTCATCGCAAAAGTCATCGCAAGTCATCATCGCAAGTCATCGCAAGTCATCATCGCAAGTCATCGCAAGTCATCGCAAGTCATCAAATCATCATCGCAAGTCATCGCAAGTCATCGCATCGCAAGTCATCGCATCGCAAGTCATCGCAAGTCATCGCAAGTCATCGAGTCATCGCAAGTCATCACAAGTCATCACAAGTCATCGCAAGTCATCGCAAGTCATCGCAAGTCATCGCAAGTCATCGCAAGTCATCGCAAGTCATCGCAAGTCATCGCAAGTCATCGCAAGTCATCGCAAGTCATCGCAAGTCATCGCAAGTCATCGCAAGTCATCGCAAGTCATCACAAGTCATCACAAGTCATCACAAGTCATCACAAGTCATCACAAGTCATCACAAGTCAATCAGTGAAATCTATCCGAGATCTATCCATTCCAATGAATTTCCAGTTCAAAGTTGTCAGGATTGCACCAGTGATCCCACCGTGTGATCGATTCCTAACAGCAGGAGAGACCAGACGGCGGGGGCCCAAATGGCTGATGGGACACACGAACCAAGCCATACAGTTCTGTTGTGTTAGAATTGAAAGCTTCATAGTACCATAGTAAACCATAGTAAACCATAGTTGATCCACATAGTAAACCATAGGCAATTCTTATGTTGCAGTAAACCATAGTACCATAGTAATTACCATAGTAAACCTGCATGTTTGATCCACATCAAAGAACCAAATTTTGACCCATAGAAAAAGTCGCTCAGATGACCCATCCATAGCTATATCCGATGGCCCAAGAGCTGCTGGAGAGGAGAACCAGGCCACATCGATGGTTGGGCCTTTGGTCAGAGAGCCCAGCGGTTTGGAAATGGAAATTGAACGGAAAAGTGGGTCGAAAAGTTGAGATTCTTCGCAGAACTCATCTGATTCCCCCATTTTGATCAAAAATCCACTAGCTTCGTGGACATCGGACGTCCTTGGATTTTAGCATTTTCAAGCCAGCCGAAGGCAGTGCTCGGCGCACCACCAGCGGGACTGTGCGGATGCCGAGAGTGAGGGATGGAAGGGATGAAAAGGTTGGAGCTGGTCACCTGATTCAAATGGAAGCTCCCCTTCCACTTCCTCACGAACCTAAGCGCGCTTTGCGATTTCATCCTCGTCGCAAACGGTTTGTCGCAGTGTTGATCCAAAAGCCCTGGTTGCAACCTAAATACAGTATATATATATAATATACGGAATACACACATAACATGATTTGTTACGAAATTGATGTGTATGTAATTATATATGTATACCTACACATTATGACTACACGGGAAGGAACTTAACTTAATAGGATGATTGCCCCTAGTTACTAGGTGGGATGCACCTCTGAGCCATGGCATCATGGGATTGTGCGCTTAAAAAACCAAGATCTACCGGCTGAATCGTCGACATGACGCATCAGTGGGTCTTAGCACCTTGGCCAAGTTCAGCCGAGGGACCGGGATGGAGCTGATTGGCGGGCCCAAAATATGGGAATTGCCTCGATGGCTCTTTGAGCAACTGGAATTCCGAATTTGAAGTTTCAATAGTTCATAATAGTTCGGTCAAAGGAGCAAAGGAATTGGAAAAAATGCCGCGGACGACACATGCGATGGGAATTGCCGATGGATTTTCCCAATTGTGAAGCCTTTATTTGGCCAGGTGGCAGCAAAGAAGTGGCATTCTTGGTGTGGACGCCTAACCCGAAATTCCAACTCCGACTGAGGAATTTCACCGCATTTCACCGCATTTCAGCTTTGCTGCACCAAGGTTGACAAGCAAACAGTTCGCAATGTGACGCAAATGATGGCGTTGAAGCGGATGGACGCCATGGCATGCAGTTGACACTGGAGATCACTGGAGATATCTGGAGATTTGTTTGACCTTAGCTCTTTGATTTTGATGAATATGAGAGTTATATGACATCCTGTTTCCTGGCTATTTCTTGGCTATTTGATTCTACGGATTCAAAGTGCAGTGCATTTTGGCGATCCGAAATATATGCCAGGTAGACGCTCTGTGGATGGTGAGCTGCGAAAAATGGCAGCATCCCAACATTCAGAGGTCTGGGAGCTGGACACATTCGAGACATTTCGAGACGCAACCGAAAGCTGGGAATGGATGATTCAGTACTAAAATCTACTACAGTGATCCATAGAATGGCTAGAGACCTCCGTATGAATGATAGTATGGTTATGTATGGTTGAACTGTTTCTGAAACTGATAGTGTTTAAGGATCTGAACTTGTCCCAGAAATTGTTGGCTGAATTATTTGAATTTGAACATATAAAAGCATGACAAAGTGACACAAAGTGTGGGTCCACAGATAAGGTACACTCTGGTAAACTAACGTCCCTAAAAAACTTTAGTAAAACACACGTATTTTCCAGGTTAGTTTTCTGTAAAATGGTGATATCTCAGGAAAAAAATGGATAGCTATGTTAGCAGCGTCCTTCTTTGATAAATCTATGTTATACGTGCGATGGAGAACAAAATGATAGCCATGTTAGTGGGCTTCCTGGTTTGCCCCCAGGGACCACAGTGGATCATTTTACCAGGAACCCCAAAAATGATTTTCATAGCCCTTTTTTTGAGCTATAGCAGCTATACCGGCTATACCCATTTGATGCCTTGAAAGGATGGTTTTGTATGGTTTTGTAAAGTGATCCGTGCGCAAATCTTGGTGCAGTGGTCCACTGCCAGGCTTTTTCAAGTTTACCATTCACAGTGGACGACTCAGTTTGGTGATGTCAAGGGAGTGGTAGAGCTCCCAGAGCAGGCTTCCTTTTGTCACGGTCAGATTAACTCTGACTCTAAACTCTTCACCGAATTCTTTCAGATGGTGTACTGGTACGTAGGTTCTGGTAATCTAACCGCAGAATGAGAGAATCCCGTATCTGTATGCATGTTGTCATAGAACGCATGTTTTTTTCATGAACAAATGCAATTTTCGATTGCCATGTTGGTGATTTGTGAAATCAACTTCCAGATCCACAGATGAGTCCCTATACTGAGTTAAGCGTGGTTCTGAGGACCCACATCATCATGCGGATGGAGTGCGCTGACGGAGCGATGGGGATGGCAACCTACTTGTAGTGGTTCCAGGTGATAACCACCTCAAAATGTACTATAGTCTATTTGAATATACTGTATGATATATTGTTGTGGATATTGACATTCGCTGACCATGCGTAATTCATCAATTATACAATAGTGATAATGTAATATGTAATGGTTAGCTGATATCTATGTCTGAAAACAAAACCGGCTTTAGTCAGCTTGAGCATCGACTGATGGTGTCATCGATCCAGGTATGCCGGCGCTGGCAGTTTGCACGGCCGGCTATGCCGCCTGCAACGAAGGTGCAGAACGTGTGGATAGATCATTATAGGTCATTAACTCATTGATATACTGCATCCGGTTCGTATCATCTAAGTATGTTTTTCGTTACCTTCTATTGTGACTTCAACTGAGTCATATTTAGATCATGACTTCCCAGTCAATGACTTGCTCTTTAGTGAGCATTACGGTACTCAAAAGTTGAAGCCAGGCCGTTGTCCTCGAGTAAGACGCAGAAGCCCAAGTGATTCCCGGATGTGGCGTGAATTTTTTGCCGTCAGCGAAGGGGCAATCAGCATATTTGAGTATTGCGCTCTTAGTATATGCTGCACATTTCTAAGGTCCCAGATTCTGCAACAGATCTTTCGGGCAGTGGCACATTTGCACCTGGGTCCACGGGTGTTGGGGCACCCAGATGGTCCAGATTTATGGCTGACTCGGTTGCCATCAGTCTTCTGATGCGAGCACTGACTTGAAAACTGAAACGCCTTAAAGTAAACTTAGTATAACTGATGTTACTGATGACAAACACCCATCTTGGATCATCATTGAGTAGAGCCTGATCCGGTTCCTTAAATGTTGGATGTGGTTTAGAGGATCAACTGTCCAGCGCCCCAGGTGTCACAGGGATATCAAACCTGAAAGCTTTGATTTGCACGAGGCCAGGTGATGAGTTGCTATCCCCTTCATGTGAAGTTGATGCGGCTATGGATCTGGCTGATTGCGGCTGGATGTCTATTTTGGCACTGTCACACATGTTTAACTGATTTTTATCAGGTTACTCTTCAGTTTCAGTACATCCATTTT